TCTCCACCCATCTCTTTCTCTCCTGAAATAAAATTTGTCTTTGAATATATACTTACTATTTTACATATCATCTATGAAATCTGTGCAGCAAATGTACTTAATCTCTCTGCAGTCTGAGTTCTGTGTACTTTTTTGTACACTGGAAGATTTCCGAGATTACAGCAGAAATATTGATCTGTTTAGTGTTAGAAAAGCTATTGATTATGTGGTGGTGCAAGCTTATATAAGCATAAATTGACCTTGTAGAGTATTTTACTTGTGTTTCAGCTGGGTTTCATTGCAGTACACAGATGTGATAAGCAATACTGTTATATGGGTTAGAGTGTAGTTTGCAGCAAAACTAATCTCTTCAAGAAGTGGTATTCTATAATCTGCAGGAATGTTTAACACACACTTTTGAGAAGAGATATTAAAGTGGGAAAAGGGTAATAGAGGTCAAATGGAATAAAAAGGAAAAGGGAAAATAACAGGGTATGGAAAATGGTTTCTTTTTTATCTCTTCTTTTTATGAATATGTTCTTTTTAAAAGTAGTAATGTTCCTTTAAAAAGGAAAAAAAATATTTTAGTTGGGGGCAGCATTCTGCCAGCTAGACTGCAGTGTAAAATCAGGAATTTTAAAACTGTGTTTTACACCTAGGAATATGATTATCTCTTCATTATAAGACGCAAATAAGGTTTGTCTGGAATGGTCTTTCCATGGGGAGAGGGCCCAGTACCCACAGCTCACTATTTCAGTGTGATACCACTCCTGAGGTGCTGCTGCATTGCTTTGACAAGCTTCAAGCCCAGTCAGCCTAGAAATACAATGCTCAGAGGCTTCTCTGAAACACAGCATCTGCTCAGCCATTCTCCCCTCATTTTGAGGGTTGCATTAAATATTTTGTAGTTTTGTGCAAAAGCTGGAATCAAACTACTTTGAAAATCTGCATATTATTTGATACTGTCGGTGTATAGCCCAAATGAGAGTAAATTAAGCTTGAAAGTCTGTAAAGCATAGAGATGTGGAGGTGTAAAAAACAATTACAGCTTGCACTTAACTAGGCTCTGTAATTTGTTGCAGTAATGCAATATTTCTTTAAAGCAGAAAACCTTAGAAGAATACTAATATAATAATTAATATTCAGGTTACCTAGGGAACTTGAGACTCTGCTGAGTGTAGCTAGAAGATCCTTTGCAGACAAAGCTACCCAGTACAGTTTTTTTTTTTCCCTAGACCTTTAAGGATGACCCCTCCAGGCAGCTGTGAGATTATTTCCCCCACTTTTCCAAGTTTCTACAAAGTTTCTCCCTTACAGAAAAGGGACCTGTTCTGTCTAAAACAAGTTAGAGGTGATGTAAATATGAAAAGGGAGAAAGAATTCAGGTGGTCTTAGAAAAAAAAGGAATAATGCAGAGATGCTAGATGACTGAAGAGCCATAATGAACAAAATAAAATTTTAAAATGTCAAGAGAAGATTCATTTCATAAAGGAAAGGCCAGAATAAAAAAATGTTTTCTATATATCTCTAGAAGTAAATGTTGGAGTAAGACTCCAAAAATCACTGTCAGCAAGATGCTACTTACACCACTTTTTTAACAATGACTGACAAATACTACTGTGGGGCACAATAAATCTTAACTAGATTTCAAGACCAATGAACGAAGTCCTTGCACTTGGTCCTTGAGGGCAGCCTATGTCTGACAATGCTGATGTCACCACTACAAACACTAAAATAAGTGAAATGCCGGGAGATTGGTTCCCTGACAGAGTCTGGACAAAAACCAACCACAGAAGAGTGACTGTGGAATGGAAGGTATTAAAGAGAACATCATGGCTTGTACTTGCTTCCTTACTCTTCCTGATTTTGAGAAATGCATGTATAAACATCACATAGCCGTCAAGAACCAGTGAGTGCTGCCAGAGAGCAACCTAGCCAAGAGCATGTGAGCCAGCACAGCAGAACAGCTTTAGAGGGAGCCACTTGGGAAAGAGCAGCCCTCTGACAACAAATGGACACATTTTGCACAGCTGCATGACAAAGCTGAGCCAGGTAGTAGAGGGTCAGCCTGGAGTCCTGCACTCTGCTCTCCAACAGTGAGTTGGCAAAAACACTGTAGTTCGTGCCAGACATGGCTGTCAGCTGTAACCCTTTTGCCAAATAAAAAGACAAGTATTTCTTTCCTGAACTCCACTTCTAATTTATATTCTTTTATTTGGCCTGGATCTTCTGGGAGAGCAGCTTACAATGAGAACGGATGTGTACTCCTTGGCACACAGTGCTGTCTTCTAGGAACACAGGAGTTACTGGCTTAGATCACATATTCCTTCACTCCACTAGCAGCGTGCTGGAAGTCAGCAGCAAAAGCTGCAAAGCAAAACACAGGAAAGCTTCTCTGAAAAATTAACTACCCAGGAGAAGCTGCTCTTGAACCTTATTAATTAGAGGTTAGTGTATGCCCTGAAGCATAAGACATTAAATCCCTTATAAATATGTATGCCTGTTCTTCAGAACTTCAGGATAATAGAGAGATGTCATAAAATTGATGCTGCACCTGAGAAGCATCTAAGCATTCACTGCATTTAACAGATGGACAAACAGGAAAAGAGTCAAGCAGCTTCTCTGCAGTCCTGTGAGCAGGCAGACTTCTGGTGGCACTGGCAGGTGAATAATGTGACACAGCTTTAAGTTTCTCCTGCTGAAGATGGCTGGCTGTAGTACCCAATTTCTGCTGCACAGCCCCTCAGAGATTAATTTCCTCTTCTGCAAATGGGTGTGTTTATCTACCTACTTAATGAGATTTTCAGACTGTAAAGTATTTGTATTACACAGCTATTACTGACACTAGGCTAAATCCAAAAAAGGAAGAGATCTACTGCCCAGTGATTATTAATTCATTTATTTCACTACAATTCTAGAACTTTTTCACCCCCATAGCTCCATTAATGCATCATTTATCAGCTAAAGTGCCCTTCCAAAGCTCGTTGGAGGCTTAAGTCTGATAAATAAATCTGGAAGTGCTGTAAGCATGGAGATTTGGCCAGAAAAAATTATATAAAATTTGGTTTTCTTTTAAAAATATTTTTATTTTAAAGACTCTATTGACCAACTGCTAAGAGCCTTGAAAACCTCCAGTATGGTCATGGAATAAGGACAACTGTAAAATTTTAATATCCTATTTCCAAAAAAAAAAAAAAACAGAGAAGACTGAGAATGAAAAGAAAGACAAGACTTACGCAAAAGCACTCATCTTTGTAAAATAATCATTCACAATGCCCTGCACCAAAGCACCAGTCCTTAGTCATGTCAATGGAAATCCTCGATGACATCAAATCAGATCAAATTTCGGGAACAGAATACGTAGTACTGTCATCAGAATTGCAGAATTGGTTATGTACATATGAACTAGCTAATACTCCAGCTAGTTTGGAAGTTAAAAACCAAGAAAACCATAACAGCACAGACCTTGAATGTTGGTTCAGTAACAAGTTTGTCCAGCCTGTGCTGAACCATGGATTTTAAAAGATGGTTTTCTTCTGCTTGGTATATGAGCTAAATTAAAGTTAGTAAGATCACCTCAATGCACATAGAGTCCACACTTTCCTGGTGGCTTAGTGCATCCGACAGTTTTGCCTTTTGAATTTTTCCAGTTTGATCATTGGTTGCTTAACCTAGCTTGACTACTTATGACCCACACTCCTTGCTGGAAGCCAAAGACAGCATGAGGAACAGCAAGCATCCTGTAATCCAGTCTCATATGATGTTTTGGATGCTTGATTCCCATAGGCCTAAAAGATGTAGAACCTGGCCCAGTGCAGGGGAGATTGTATAAGTAATAAATGAAGAAGTCAGGCTGGACAAAGGAGTGGCTACAGTGCCACTGATTCAAACTCCCAGTACAGCAGAAGCAGTAGCAAATATCTGGTATGTGGTGGCTGGTCCATCTGGAAGGAAGATAAGTTAAAAAAAAATAGATTGGAAAAGAAAAAGCCCAAATGTAGCAGGATGGGGAGCAGGTGAGAGCAGCTTCATATCCTGTCGACTCTGTGCAAGACACTTGCCTGTTCTGAGATGGAATGGGCTGCTTTACAGCTCCTTATCATGCTTGATAGCTCTGTGCACAGCTGAGGCCTAACTGAGTCATTACAAAGTTTCTTTAACTCTGTATTAACTCCTACATCAGTTTTGGGAAATGCCATTAGTCAGCTATGATACACAGCAAACACAGCAATTTATGTTGCACAAAACCCTTTAACTCCCCCAACCCAAAACTACTTCCAAGGGGATCATGCTGAGCACATGGATATTAAGCTTTCAATGCTAGTTAACTCCAAAGAGTTGGAAGATAAGTTAGTTTATTTATTTTTAACAATCATGACAGAATCTTTAATTATGATCCATGTAAAAATATAAATCAAGAGAGCTTTTTTCCCTGAAGCAAATAGGGATGGCACAGTGAAGCTGTTTTTTAGAACCATCATGATTTCCAAATGAGAATTTAGGCTTTTCAGAGCTCACCATCCCTACTGAGCATGTCCTTCTGTGCCATCCCAAAGAAGGACAGATGGAATCATGTGCTGTCATGCTCAGGGGCCATGACATGCAGTGACAAACCTAATGAGTGCCGTGGGCACTTCTGCAATAGAGGCAATAGTCTTGGGGTAAGGAACACACTGCTTCATTACAGCCTTTTATCAGAGTGCCATTTCAAATGGAAAAAATAAAATTATCAATACTTTTTTAACACGTAGGGTTTATGCCAGGAATATTTTAATTAATTCAACTTTAGTTAGTTTACTACTTATTATGGTGAAGATAGATGAAATTACTCATGTAATTCTTTTATTCTACTCAGTTTGCACAGTTAAATTCCAACAAACAAGAAGAGATGCAGCATCAAAAAATTAATAGAAATTACTAAAAGCAATACAAAATTATCTGTTTAAAAGGGAATATTTAAATTTATGGCTTGTTAGAAAAATCTAGGGTGAACAGTTTTTCTATGAGACAATGAAAATTACCTGAATTTTGTAGATTCTTCTGGTTTCCTTACCCAGGTGCAGTTCTGCAGTTTTGTGACTATATGAAGATAATAATCTTCTGAGGATCTAAAAAAAGAAACAACATCAAACACTAGAATACATATGTATGTATATTTAGAAACAGTCTTTAAAAACATTCAAATTATGCATTTATTAATAATAATGTGCATGATGCATATATAATAGATTGCTGTTAAAATTCCATGACCTATTTTATTTTTGTAATTTGTAGCAGCACTATCCTCATTTAACTAGCATGACCTATTAAACATCTCTTCTTCGTACTGATGTCCTAATGAACTTCAGAAAGTTTCAAAAGTACATTTGTTTCAAACTTACATAACTAACCATAAATATTTTGAAGTTATTAAAAATCATCTCAAGTGCAAAATTCCAAAATAATATAAATGATTCCCCCGTACTTGGTGGTTTAAACCTTAAAAGTGTTTTGAAAAGTGGCTTTTGCTGGCCAAGATGAAACATAACATTTCTTATGCCTTTTCTTTCCTTTACTTCATAGAGTCCCCAAAGCTCTATCATCTAAAGACAAGAGACCAATATTTACAAATGTAATTTTCCTTTAAACTGTCTGTAAAATAAAACAATCTGCTATTTCACGTGATCCAGAACTTTGGTTACATTGCTACATATAACCAAAAAGCTCTCTGCCCTTGAAAATCCATTAAAGAATTTAAATTTGTTCATAAGTGAAATACTTTGTAACATGAAAGTCAAAAGAATCAATATATTTTTTGCTTTCATGTTCAATGTTACTATTTCTCCCATTTGTGCCTGGATCATAATACAGGTTTTTTAAAAAATAATAACTGACTTAAGATAACTGGGGGAATAGGAAGAAAAGATGGTATGGATGTCATGACCAAAATTCCTTGGGACTCAAGTCTCCAAACAAGAACTAACTTGTATTATTTTAACAAAAATAGCTTAGTGTTGAGCCAAACCATCATGAATTTATTCAAGCTGTCACTCAGAAGTGTCTATTTTGAACAGTTTTATGAGAGTTGGGATGGCAAGAAATGTCAATTGTTTTTAAGTGGAACACAAGAATTGATAAAAAGCAATATATAAAAACACTCTCATTGTTGCAGCAGCAGAGGTCAATTATCTGAAAGCTTCCTTCTCTCTGTTACACATTTGAAACAAACAGATTGTTTGCTTCATAAAATACTGCAATTGCTAAAGCTAACTCATTTATCCTATCCCAAGTAAAATCATGTCCAATTTCCACATGGTAAAATAAATTCTAATTTTAAGAGGAATGTTGCATTAAAACTGATCTCTGGCTCAAGTTTGCACCTGTGACAACATGTACAAGTTTCATCCTCCACACTTCGCAAACTCTTAATGGAACTAGAAGATTATGACTAAACTGATTCTGCTGAGCCCTTCACAACTCAAGAGAACTCAATAGGCAGAAGCAGGAAAAAAACTAGTTTCATTGCAGCTGTAGCTGATCTGACCTGGTGCAGTTCCATTCTTCCTCCTCCCAGCCCAACTGCCTTGTGGCACTATGGGTACTTGCCTCACTCCACCCCTGTATTTTTTTTGCCAGGTTTTGCACTTGTCAAATGCCTTCATAGGACACTTTTAGTACCAGGGCAAAAAATAATCCAGAAGGAAAATCATATGCATGTATATTTTCTTCTTATTGTGTTAAACCAGATAAGAAAGATTCCATCTAAGACCATAGCCAGTATAAGAAAATAGTGATGGAAATGGACAAACAGGAATCAAAGCCCTCCTATTTTGGCAGCTGCCTGCTGGTATGTTATCAGCCTTGGAATTGCAGCCATAGAAAATGTAACTACTGTTCCTGCTGAAGCTGATCCCTAAATTGAGTCACTATGTGATCAGACAAGTGTCAGTAGGAGTGCAGGGCAGGGAGTGTTTGTGGGGTGAAGGTGAGATAAAAACACAAAACCAAAATAGCCAATTCTGATGTTGAATAACTCATCTGGTTTCATTCCTTAATATAAACAAGAAATCACTCTTAGACGCTTGAACTTATAAAAAAAATTCCAGAAATTAATAGGATAACAGACCATGAAGAATTATTTATGCTATCGTTATCCAGGAGAAAAAAAAAAAATACAGAAAAAGCAAATTCTAGCTTAAAGACATTGATAAGATGAAGATAAGAGTCAGAAATGAAACGAAAAATTACCATCTATTCAGAAAGAAATTGCATGGACTGACAGTTTTTTAGTAAGTTAGAGGGAAGCATTTGGCAGGGAGAAGAATGAAAGCATAATCCATAATGTTAGTTCTGAGACCTCATAGGAAACATAGGCACTCACTCTCAGAAACTGTAAGGGCCCTCTCATACCTGTAACAGAAAATGCACTTAGGGTAAAACACCAAGCACAAAGCAAGAACACTGCAGCCTTTCCACAGCTGTCTCTACTGGATGGAATTGCTCTTGCTGGGAGGTATCCAAGCTCACCAGTTCACATAGAAAAGCACCATTTCCAGGTCTTTACAAGTCAGAACACCAACTCTGCTCACCCTATGTATCCAGTTTAGCTCCCTCCTCTTGTGACTTACAAAGACACTCTGGTCTGTCAGAACTTGTCTTTACAGCTGGCACAGTGCCACAGGCAGCACAGACATCCCAGCATGCTGTCCTGGGGGACAGGAGCTCTCAACTGTGGCAGCTCTGCAAGGCATCTGCTCACACCAGTAAAAGGTTTCTATGAAATTAACTCCAACACAGACAATATTCCTAGAAATAATGTTTTAAAGACTCAACATGAAGTTCTGGGATTTGCTGCAGCTGGGTTTGCAGCCCAGGAAACTTTGTTTTCCTCTCAGAAAGCCAGTTTTAGCATTTCCTGCTTTAAAGGAGGCTTGGGGATTCACTTCTCTAAATGAATCAGTTCAGGTTATCAGGGAATCATTTCATGACTCTGCTGTAACCCAGACAGTCATCTTCTCCACTCTTCCATTTTAAAGAGCTGGCACATTACATATATTTCCACTGGCACCCAGGAGCCTACAGCACATATTCACTGATGCTAAAAGGGTTTTATTATTAAGATAAAAAAGGCTCAGGTAAATTGAGCTATAAAAATACGTAGACAACACAATGATTACAGTGCTGAGAAGAGTGAATGAATGAAACATGGGGTATTTTGTCGTGTTTTTGTCTGCCACCTGCACCACAACTGTTATAATAATTTGAGGAATATAATAGAATAAATAGTAGGAAACTCACTTATACTATATGAGCCTGACTAACAAATAACACCTGGAAGGCTTTTTTTTTTTTTTTTTCCCCAGAGTATTTGTCAGGTAAGAAGTGACCTTCTATGTTAACTGCAGTGGCTAAGGTGGAATTACTATTCACAGTCGAAGCAGTGACAAAGTATTAGTATCTTCTAATTTTTGGCAGATATCAAAAGGACAACAGCGAGGACAAAAGTGTAGCGATAGAATGGAGACAACAGGTAAGATGTCAGAACAGACAGATGCAGTCTTACTGGTTATTTGCTAAAATTAAATACCAGCTTGAAAAAAAGGCATTTGAATTAGAAGGAAGATTGAGCAGCAGGAGTGAAGAAAGGACACGTTTCTACTAGGCAGTTTATGTTCAATATAGAAACAAATAAGAAAAGCTGTGGCACGAAATGCAAAATAAGGGAGGCTCTGTTTTGCCTCTGGACACTTCAACACTACCAAAAAAAAAAAAAAAAAAAAAAAAATTCAGTTTTATAAGCCCTCAGGAGATTGTACACAGGTCTTGCTCCAGAATAAAAATGGAAAACTGCTAGCGAAACTCAGCACTTCACACTTTGTCACCACCAGCACATACTTGCCATAATAATATAACTTCCCAGTTACACAGCATTTCTTACTATCAAATCATTTGACAAGCTTTAAATCAGTATTTTTTTTTTCTTCTTCCTTCCAATTTAAGAGGCAGGAGTGTCCAGAATGTCCCTTCAAGTCTAGAACTGCAATATAAAGCATTTATATACCACGTCCACGGGTCATACATTGAAAAAGCAACAAAATCCCTGGAGCTCCTCTCAGTGAAGGTCAGCCCTGCAATATTCATGGCAAAAAGCAATCCCTTGCTCCTTTTTTTCCCAAGCATCTGTTTCTCTTCCTACCTGCCCAATTCATCTTCTGCCCCATTAAATGGTACAGCACCTTTCTGTTTAACCACAGAATAAAAGTCTTGTACTTTGTAAAGTTTCTCCCATAACCTCAGCTCCAAAATGTTCTCAATATGAAGAGCTTATCTCCAAAGACTGTAAACCTCTGCAATGTGCGGGATAAACAACAGCAATTATATTGCTGTAAGTAGATTTTGAAAGCAGTATAGTGACTTTTCTTTCCCTTGGTGTTAATCACTCAAGTTTTCAGTCAACTGCATTCTTTGATCTCTGCCAGTCTATGTTTCAGCTCTTACTATCAGTGCATCAGTAACATAGTGTTCTAGCACCTTTCAAAAGAATAAACTACAGTGATAGTGTTGCTGAAAGAGGTGGAATACTGATGGGAGAGGAGGCTGTAAAGACGGGGAAAAAAAAGAATAAATAAATAAGGGGAAAAAAGAATAAATAAATAAAGAAATAATAATAAGAGCAAAGACAAAATGCTGGGAATATGACGACTTAAAGAAAGGTGAAAGATCTTTAAATGCAATAAATAACTGAGGAGCAGGCAGAAAAGACAGAGTAAATTTTCAAATCATCATTCAATGGTGGTTTTTTTTTTGCATTAAGGAAAAAATTGAGTTCTCCAGTACTTTAAATGGGGAAAAGCATATAATTATTTTTAGCTCATCTTTCATCTCATTCCATTTCTCTTCTCAAATGGAGGGGAGTGGGGAGGGAAGCTCCCAGCTTTAAAGACAGCATGGCACCATCCACTTTAAGCTGCAACTCAGTCATAATGGGAAGCCTTTCTTACTTTCAATGTTTTATTTATTGGTGCATCAATATAGGAAAAGATGTTACATGTCAAAAACAATGGCTGCTTCTCAGCTTTACACTTCGAAAAGTGACAAGGAATTTGAGCAGGACTGATATCAAAGTTGGATTTTTCTCCATGCCAAAAAAATACAGAACAGCAAGTTGAAACCCAAAATTAATTTGTGGTGGTTTTTTCCAATGTGTCTAAAACTGGACTGTTAGTTTCCTGTGGACTTGTAATCATAATGCAATCATGCAACTAACCAGCAAGTCTTTATACTAGTACATTTCCAAACTTCCTCTAGTCAGCAATGCTGAACAGCATCATTAAATGAAATTGCTCATAAATGGAGGAGGGTTCACCAGTCAGGGAAAAGACACTCAAAAATAAAACTATACCCCACACTTCTACTCAATACTTTTGTGAATAACTTGGAATGTGATGCAGTTAACTGACAAGAAGAAATCTTGTATTGTACAAATAAAAAAGTTAAAATCCCCCCTTGAATAAATCTTATCCATGTAAAAGAAAAAATGCAGCAAACATTGGTTGAACAAATCCAGTTCTGTTGCATAGCTCCACATTAATAAACCAAGAATTATGTAAAAAAGGACAATCTTTTACCCTTCTATTTAAAACAAACAAAGAAGAAAGGACAGCAAACACCTACCTTTTCTTTTTGATAGATGATGACAAAATGTTGTCCTGAATTGCTTTACATTTTGAAGCCTGCTCAAACTGGTAAATTCCATTTTTATTATGAGTTGTCCTGTTAAAAGTGAACAGGAGGAGAAAAAGCAATAAACTATAAAAGAGAGAACATATTCTACCAATGTTGTCACATTTACTTTGCTATGACAATAAGATTAATAACCGCTGATTTAGCTGAAAACATTACTAAGCAAATCTTATGGACTTCTATTGTGAAGCTCCTGTTATTAAAAGATAGTTTTCTGCTAGGGACTATAAAATATTTGGTTCTTTAAAATAACCATATTTCATAGTCTGAATTATATTTTCCACTTTACACTGTAATCAGCAAATGTAATTTAAAAAAAAAATTAAATTGAAAGTATCTTGAACATTAAGTTTTGAAGATATTTAAAATATTCTCTAGTAAAATATTTAGCAGATGTGATTTCCTAAAATTGTTGATGAAATGCAATATTCAGGGTGAATATAATATATACAGGAAAATTTCCACAGGTGAAGTGGATCTTTGTACTTTGACCTTAACTTACTGACTCAAGCATAATACTTCCTGCCTTGTTTATTCTTTATTTACACAGAAAGAACACATATTTGTAAAAGGAACCAAGGCAAGTGCCAGATAGTGATCTTTAATTCCTATGTTATTTTCACCAAACTCGTGTGTGGTCCTCTTGCTCCAGACAGCTGTTGTAGAAGGCTGAGATGTAAATTAGTAAATGACTGAGATACCAAGATCTTATTCCATTCACCTCAGTTCATCCTCTATCTATGTCCAACCTCATACAATCACCCTCTTCTAGCATCAGCCTTTACTCTGTGGATTGCTATTTATCATAAAGATTTTTCCCCTGGCATTATTTTCCTTGCCCTTTACCATGTTTTTCCCAGCTACTTTCCCCTCTTCTTTGTTTCTTTCCACTGATTCATTACAGATCCCTTGGACATTGCAGCCCATTTGCCCAAAGAAGTAGAAACACAGAAGACAGAGATGCTGTGTGCAGTTCTTAGAGAACAACTGAAACATCTCTGTACAGAGGCAGTCACACACAAAGAGAAAGGCCTTCCTGCTTTGTGCTTCTGAGCCAACACTGCTTTTACTGACAAGGATCAAAACTCCATTGCCTTTATCTCCTACAACATGGAGACCCCTTAGCAACAAGATTTCTGACAAGCTGATTTTGAAGACCTTTCTTGGCTAAGATGCCATTTCAAGCTACAGAACCACAGAGCAGCTGAGGTTGGAAGGCATCTCTAGAGGCCATCTAGTCCAAACTCCCTGCTCAGGCAGGGCCACCTAGAGAGGGTGAGCAAGGACTATGACCAGGTGCTTTTGAATATCTCCAAGCACAGAGACTCCACAACCTACCTGAGCAGCCTGTGCCAGTGCTCAGTCACCCTCACAGTTAAAAAGTGATGCCTGATGGTCAGAGGGAATCTCCTGTGTTTCAGTTGGTGCCCACTGCCTCTGTTTTACCACTGGGCACCACTAAGATCTTGGCTCCATCCTCTGCACCCTCCCTTCAGGCACCAATAAGGTGTCTCCTGACCCTTCTCTTCTTAAATGCTTCAAATTAGAAGACTGACTGAAGAAGAAAGAGAAGAATAAATGCTTGTTTATTTTGCTACTGAACTGACTCTTATGGTCATAGCTGACAGGGAAGGAAAGAATCACCTTTTCTTCTTTCCATTGCCCATGAATTTTCTAGAGTTAGTCACCACTAGCAGCAATTCCCACAGGATGTAGGCTGCCAAGGAGAGAGAACAGCCCTCTTAATTTCTTCCCACCACCAATAAATTCTTCCCAGTATACACTCAGTGCCCCTGAGGAAGTATCTAGTCTATATGCCCCTTGTTGAGAAAAACAGAAGACAACAGAACATAAACCTCTATCCTTTCAGTTCTGCAGTGACTTCAATAGATAGTAACAGCTGGCACTGCCTACTGAGAGCTCCTTGGCTGCCTTTGCATACAGCTCTTTATGTCATTTTTTACTCAAGGAGTGAAATACAAATAGCAGAAGGCTCTCAGAGCACACAGTTCAGAGCTAAGAACTCTGCAGATCTCACATAGCAAGTGCTAGCAAATATTCTGCCTACAAAATTTATGTACACAGATTTCTTGCAGCTTGGTCCGAATGGTTCTGTCTACGTAGAACAACCAGGTAGGCCCTTTCCAGTTCTCAAAGAAATTTAGTCAGCACTACATCATGCTTCCTCTCTCTTGCTCCTTTAACTCAGTTACATCAAATTATTATTCTGCAGCTGCAGCTTAAAATAAGAGCAATGGCTACAGGCAAAAGTTTAGCTGCCTAAACAGCATCTTAAAGAAATAGAAACGGGAAAAAAACAAAAAAAAACCACTATTGATATAAGCCAAGAACACGTTACTGCTACAAATAAGCCTTTCATTATAACTAAAACCTAAGATGCTGATTTGAGAAGTGGCCTCAGCCCTTCTGAGCCACAGCTGGCCAGAAGAGACCCTGTCTAACATGTGAAGACTGCCAGGTGGATGACCAAGGCAGAGCAGGCAGTTAGGTTTGATCAGCTCCCTGCAAGGTGTGTTAGCAGAGTGGCAAAGCACCAATATTCTTTCACAACTCTGTGCAGACAACTATTACAAGTCCTTACAACTTCCTAATAATTTTTGTCTGGAGATCTGTGGGGCAATGACTAAATATTCTCTCAAATACAAGCTTTACTCCACAGACTTTTAGTCCTTTTAAAAATTCAGAAGATCAAGGCAAGCAAGTTGCCTCATTTTTTAATATGCAATTGTTTTTAAGCAATCATATTCAAGACTTGAAACATTCAAAAAAGAGGAAGTCAGAAAAAAGAACAAAATAATTCTCTGTTCTGTTTTGTCATTAAAGCCTCATAATCACTTTTACAACCACATCATAGATCACCAAAGTGCTTCTTCTGCAGCTTTTCATACATAAAATTTACTCAACCTACTTTGTGGTGCAAAAGGTACAAAATGAAAACAATTTATTTGCAAGAGATGTAAAACAATTACTAATTCCATTAAAAGTTAAATTTCTGAATTTCTGTTTCACTGTCAGAGTGGCCTCTGCTTCACGAGTGAAATCTTTTTGCATGTAGATAAAGATGGGTGTGCAAGAGGCAGTCCAGACTTCTGCTACATTATTCATGGCAAAGTTGTGCAGACATCAGACTCAGATTAAATTTCTGCTCATTTCAGACAATTGTGCAAGGCAATATTTACCATTAAATGAATTTACCTGACCCAGCAGATGACAGTCTTGCTCACTACTTAGAGCAGCACTACAGCTTCTGCAATGAAATCAGTAACGTGCCTAACAACGCAGATATCAGCTACGTTCAACTAATTTTGTGAACTACAAAGCTAAATGAGAACTTGAAGCACAAACATTCTGTTGGCTTGAACTCATAAAACTGATGATATAGGGAAATTTCAGCTGTATTCTCCCTAGGACTTAACCAATCATATTGGACTAAATCTGAAAAACAGGGGTTTTTTTTAATCATATATGAACAGCTTGAGGACCACATACTTCCTATGGTAATTCTAGAAACTCAGGAAGTACACCATCTGTACTTTAATAAATCCACAGTAGATTAAGACCATGTGCCTTATCTATCAGCACATTTTTATTCTATATCTTGCTCTCAGGAAGACAAGCAGATCCTCAAACTTTAATATTGTTTAAGACAAGATTGGAATCCACCTTTAGACAGAAATTATATGGAAAGTCCTTTTGCTGCTCCTGCAGCATTCAGTCCTGAGACAACAGGGATCCTTATTGCAGGGAATCACCAGACAGAGGGGTATGTGAAGTAAGACAGCATTCTGAGGGAGCAGAAAGGTACAGGCAGGAAAAGCAAAGGCACACCCTTTAAAAACAAAACCAAACTCAACCCCAGTTATCAGAGTAGGAAAATGGGATGAGCATAAATTTGGAGGAATGGCAGGGAAGAAAAAAGGCAGATGGAAAAACTGCTGCTATGAGTTATACTGTAACACAAAGATTAAAAGGTCACTCCTCTAGATGTCCCTCAAAATCAGATAGAAACAAAGAATGTGGGATGAGATAGTCAAAATTTCTCAGACCTGAACGATCTGGCAGCAGTGAAAGCAACAAAAATTTCACTTTCCTAGTAAATCCACACTTAAAGTATGGGAAAATCCCACTCTGGCTACTCACTCCACACCCAGCAGAACCAGTTGCTGCTCTTTTCTATAGCTTCTTGTTCTTGTCTGAAGGGGCACAAGAGTTCTAAACATGATCCAGCTCAGCATCTCCAGCTAAAAAGGATAACTTCTGTAGGCAAAATTGCACATTTTTATCTGTCTACCAAAATGGCACTGAATAGCATTATCCAGATTGTGAATATCTTCTGTCTTAATCTCTCCCTTGAAGGGACAAATTTATATTTGAATATCATCATCTATTCATTGAATACTATTTAAAAACCCACAATCCATACTTCCATAGGAAGGGTGCTCTTAAGTGCTGCCTTTGATACTATTTCTAATTAATCAGATGATAAGAATATAGTGATGTTTTTAAAGTTCACAACACCTTGATTAATAAGGCAATACAAAATTTAAGTTCTTGGTGAAATGGACTATAAAAATGGCTTCATAAAACCACAGGAGTAAGAATTTGTCTTGAAACATTAATCACAACAACTGTTAAACGGACTGATCCTACTATCTTTGTTCAAGTTCCTATAGAGGTATTGCTTATCTAAATAATGCTAAATCTGGTCTTTACACAAACTGCATCTTTAAATTATTTGAAAGACCCTCCAGTGCATCCACCAGGGTTATGTACAACAGATACTTTTTTATTTATAAAATCTATAAACTGCATGACAGGTACACGACAAGCAACATTCAGAACCTCATGGTAGGTGGAGTGAAAAGAATAAGGTACTTATACTAAAATCATGTTACAAGGGCACACAATAGAATGACAGAGCAGTTTCACTTGGACCAAGTAAAAAGAAACCTTTCACTACTGTCAGAACATAAATGTGTCCTGGCAGCAGCTTTCAGCTGAACACCTATTCGTTTAGACAGAACTAATACATAAGGCATGGGTTCAAAATGTGCTCCTAAAATATGTTTGCATGCATCACTTGGGAATGAAGGGGGAAAATATTAAGAGAGCACTAAAATTAATAAAGTGGACCCCCACTGCTGACTAATCTAAACCACAGCAAATTATTTGTGCAATATACTAGGCTACTCCATAACTGTGGTATTAGCCTATGTCTTCTTTCCCTTCTGACTGCCTGAATGCAATATTTTGTTAGTAGACAAAATGTACAGGTCTCTGTAGCATTGTTAATTAAGTATAGCTGTTTATTTCCTAGGCCTGCATACAGATCTGCTGCTGAGAGAGGAATTGGAGAAATCAACACTATGGAACACTGTATTAATACTAACTTGTTTACACATAGCTTCTCAATCACTTTCTCCCACTGTTCAATTACCTCAGTGGTGTTTGCACTGTGCTTGCCTTGGACCTGCAAAGACAAAAAGCAAGCTAGGGAAATAGTAAGGGAATGCCTTAACACTGGCAACACAGACTAAAGAGTAAGGTAGTCAGTTCTTTAGGGTACTTCTGCCTTGTAACTTTTATATAAAGTATACATAAATAGTGTTATTTTGATTTCCCTTGCAGGACCTGGCATTATTTATCTGCTGCATATTCCTGGGTAGTATAATAGGAGTTAGAATTTCTGCCTAAATTCAACCTAGCACACACTAGGCCTTGTAACAAGGAAAATACTACCTAGCTTCTCTTACTATTTTCATTTTCCCCTGATAAGCACTAGCAGTATTGAGCCTTCTGTTCTACTATTAACAAACAAATATGCCTGCACAAACTCAGGTGGGGAGAGAGGAAAGGAGAGAGGGAAGACCAAGAGTCTAAAGGTGGGAAAAAATGCAAGATTTCTTTTTTTGGTTGTAGTGTTGAAAATACAAGAACTATGTACTTAAGAAAATATAAATTGTATTCACAGTTACAGCTTAAAAATGGAGAGGACAGTATGAGGCATACATAGGAGAATTTGCCAGAGAACATACTACTGCAGTATCAGTGATACTGGTTCCATGAACAAGTCTGGGGACTAATAGACATACATAATAGAGTAACAGCGGCCTTTCTTTTCAGCAAGAAACCCTACTAAGAGGCACAGTAGGTTGTGAAATAAGCCTAAGACTAGATGTGCAAGTAGCACTGTAGAGGCAGTCACATTGCTCCAATTAGCTAAGGCTTAACAAGAAAAAGGGGTAAGCAGTGTCCTGTAAGAGATAAACCACATCATCAAGGTTTTTTACTTAGACACAGATCTCCAGAGAACTTTAGCTGCCTAGTCACCATGTATTTAAACACTGCTGCACATAATAGCTGCCTAAATATCTAAGAGAGTCTGATCCAATCCCCTGCTTTTCATCCTTTCATCCTTCAGTTTCATCCTTTTAAAAGAATTGCTCAACGTAAAAGAACAGATTAGCTTTCAATACTGCAAGGTAACAGAATAATAGGGCCTTAGAGATTCTTTGGGAGATGTCTGGTTACACATATGCCTCCAACAGCAAAGGAAATAATGATAACAAAAAAGATTAGCTTGTGACTGTGAAGATTGTCTAGATTACTTTTACTTAGAGGTCAAGGATAGTGCCTAGGTTTTATTTCTTTTTCCTTTCCTGGAAACATCCGTGCACATCCTCATACTCTTATGCAGGAAAGGACATTGCTGCCAATAAGAGAACAATGCCATTCAAGTAATCAGGGTTGTTTAGGAGAACCACACTTCCCCACAGCACATTGGACTCTAATTCCTATTGACCAGACCATCCATCTCCATCACTGAGGGATTGGTCTGAACCTCCTGAATGAGTCCAGATGCTCTCTGGATCAAACATCTCCAGCATGGCCCTTAGCCAGGCCCAGTCCAGCTGCTGCCTGGATCAAACCCCTCCAGCATGGATCCCTGCCCAGTCTTGCTGCTCTCTGGATGAACTAACAGCTCCTGGTCAGTCCAGTCCAGCAGCTCTCCTTTCTAATTAGCCACACGTGTACCACAAACTCCTGTCAGGCCAGCTTACTGAGCATAGTCACTCAGGTGAGAAAGCACATCCACTCTTGGATTCAGCTGGCAGGACATCTCCCCAAAGACACTATGGTTTCAGAGGCTTGAGTATATTGAAACTTTCTTTGATGAATTATTTACTTGACACACTTTTGCAGTCACTTAGTCATGAAGAAATACAATTTCAGGCTGACAAAAAGTAGTTGCAAATTGGTGCCAAAATCCTCCAAGTAGAATAAGGAAAAATACATATTTAAAATCACAATCTCACTTGCCCTATTACAGAGGTTAAAAAATGTCATGGATTTTCAGACCACTTTGGTATGTGTTGTTTCTTTCATTGCTCCAGTTGTGAGTGTACTAACTGGGAAATAGTTAGACTGTTCTCTGAAGTGCTCTCTGCCAGCATTTCTAGACAATTCAACTCCATGGTATAACACAGAGAGCTGAATGAAAGCAGCTCAGAAAGTAGCAGGGAGGAGCGTGAGGAGACGGGACAGGGGGAAACCACAGACATAGCCCAAAACAGAGTGAAGAATACAGTAATGGCTACAAAAAAAGAAAAGCAAAAGAGTACATACTGCAAAAAACAATATCAAGAGGGGGAAAGAAGAGAAAAAAAGCAAAAAGGGAAAAAATGAGAACAGAAAAGAGAAGCAGGCTAGAAGCTCATAACACCATGTAGGAACATTTGCAGAATTCTGTTCCTTTTCTTTCACTCTAACTTTGAAAGACGCTATAAACATACAGCTTGTGAAAATTTTAAATACTGAGGGAGAGAGCACAAAGCTATCTCATCAGAAGCATCTAAGAAATGCACTGTTAGGGTACATTGCAATCATTACTACAGCTAACATCACTTGCATTCACTTTGGGAAAGCATAGGCTGTCAAATTCGGCTAGAGTGAGTGAGATGGTGGCCTCAGTAAGGTTAACTGCACTGTCACCATTGTCTTTAACACAACCAGGACACCATAGTTTCTGTGAAAGACCCAATTCTTAAGTTCTTTCTAATTTTTATAATGCATTTTCACCATAATATATATTAACATATAATAGTCATGGTAACTGCAAAGGTAATAATGCCATATAAAGTAAAAGAAGAAAACAAATATATTTCAAAACTACTTCTTACATAGCATTGATCTCATGTGTGGATTACACCACTATCTTTTGCACTGTTTTCCTACAGTGTAGGGACTCAATAGCATGAAAACAAGTCATTAGTATTGAAGTCTGCATGTTTCACAACATTTCACAGATGACTTTACAAAGTATCTTCATATTAAACTTTACAGTATAAAATAACGGGCTGTAAAGCAAAAATCTACACTGACCTAGAAGGTCAAGGCACATGATCAAGTGAATGGGCTCCCACAAAGTACAATGCCAACCCAAAACTAAACAGGCTTTATGTGTCTTGCCTTCACCCTATGGATTGTAAATGATAAATCTGTATTTTTAACTAAATACAGATTACAAAAACAATAACAGCATTACCCAGCTCCACCTTCCTGGAAAGAAGAATAAAAAGATACCTGGAACGTGTCATTCAGCAGGTACTTTTTGCATCGTACACTAAGAAAACTGCTCTACGCAATATTTTATTGGGCTCAAAACCAACGGCAGAGTGACAGCCGTCAATAAAATATCCCATGAGCAAATAATTCACAATAGTTACAGCAAAGTGCCATTTGCTCTAATAATCTCTAACGCTCTCCCTGATCAAGCTGCCCTAACAAAAGCAAGAATGAACCGGAGCGAAGGGAATTTCTGCTTTGTAGACCCGACCTCACGGACCCACCTGCGGGCGTCCAGCCCGTACCTGTTCTCGGTCCGAGGAAGGGGCGTCAGGGGAGACCTGAGGGCTCGCACCACTTTCGGCGTGACAGCCGCTACTCCGGCGTCCTCCTCCCAGCCCCTGCCAAGCGAGACGGGAAAACAAAGTTGTCAGGACCCGCCGGTGACCGCACATCACCCGGCGCGACCGGCGCCGCTCTCCTGCCCACCACCCGCGCCGAGCCCAGAGCGAGCCGGGGGCGCCGCGCCAGGCTCCGCCGCACCCCGCGGGGCTCGTCCCGCTCCTCCGCCATCCCCCGCCGGCTCCGGAGCGCAGGCGAGGCCGCCCGGCCGCCCTACCTGGCGCGGAGGGGCTGCTGGCCCCCCATGCGCAGGAGGCAGCCTCCGAGCAGCAGGCTGCCCAGCGCCGCGGCCAAGGCGATGACAGCCCGCATGGTGCGCTCGGCAGCGGCGCCCGGCGCAGCTACGGCCCCATAGTATTTAAGGGAGGCTGCGGGGAGGGGGAGGCGGCCATGGCAGCCACAGGGTCTCTGCGCTCCGCCCCTCGCCCGCAGCCCTGCGCCGCCGCCATCGGCTCCCGCTCCCGCCGCGGCGCGGGCCCGGCCCGCCGGTGCTGGCGGGGGGCGGCCGCGCTCGGCCGCCGTGAGGGCGGCCCCCGGGCGGCCTGTGCCGGCGGCTGCTCGGGGCGCTTCCCGGAGCCCTTCGCTGTGTCCAGGGTGGAAATCGAGCGAGGGACTGGAAACTGCCCAAACTTTAATGGGGGAGAGGGGCGCCGTGCGGGACGGCGGCGGGGGCGGACTGCGGGGCTTGCCCGGCGCCCTGCCCCGTGCCTGGGGCAGTGAAGCCGCTGCTACTTCAATTGCTCTTACTCTGAATTAATCATAGTCAACGTGTCCTGTGTTTTGTCTTATAAAAGGTATGCTATAAAAATATGTATATTATAGAGAAAATTACCTCACATGGAGCACTGTGTAGCTCTGCCCCCCCCACCCCCCACCCCAACATAAGAAGGCTGTGAACCTGTTCAGAGGAGGGCCATGAACATGAGCTGAGGGCTGGAGCACCTGTGCTGTGGAGACAGGCTGAGAGAGCTGGGCTGGTTCACCTGGAGAAGGCTCTGGAGGGACCTCATTACAGCCTTCTGGTACCTGCAGGAGGCCTACAAGAAAGCTGGAGGGGGACTTTTTAACAAGGGCATGTAGTGAAAGGACAAGCAGGATGGCTTTAAACTGAAGAGGACAGGTTTAGATGGAATATTAGGAAGGTATTCTTTACTGTGAGCATAGTGAGGCACTGGAACAGACTGCCCAGAGAAGCCGTGGATGCTCCATCCCTGGAAATGTTCAAGGCCAGCTTGGATCAACCTGACTTAGGGGAAGGTGTCCCTGCTTATGGTGAGGGGTGGTTGGAAGTAGGTGATCACATTCAACCCAAAACATTCTGAGTATGATTTGCAGTGGTTTTGGTAAAGAAATGTTTCTGTAGTAAGCTTGTATCTTTCTACCTAAAGTTGCATTCAGTGTTGCTTTCACAAGCCAGCCATTGGTATGAGAAACCTAGTTAGATGACAAGGTGCAAATAACTAGGTCCACCTTATTAAAAGTGGGTAGAAGAGATGCTGTGACTTACAGCAGCCTTTCAATCATGCACTGACATCTTGTTTTTTGCAGATTCTTCCCTATCCTTCATGTTTTCTGTATCTGTGAGCATTTCCTTAGCCTTGGAGCTGCTGCTCATCGTTTGAGCAATGGCTAGAAAGTCTCAAAATAAGAGCTCTGCTGCAACTGTATTATTAAATAACACTGACTTGATATTGTGTGTGGTTAGATGTGACAATAAGAAGCAGCATGCGTACAGTGCACCAGAGGAACGGCACAGCACCATCTGTGATTGTGATGGGGTATGCAGGGAAACATCTAATGATGTTTTTGGGGCATTTATTAACTTGCTGGTGAGCAGGGCTGTGGGTGCTGGGGGAAGGGAGCTAGAAGCAGTTGGCTGATGTCCTAAGGGATTGCAGGTATGTGACTGGCTCATTGCACAGTTCCCCTGGGAGCGCAGCTCAGTTGTCTTCTTGGCTTTGAGGTACTTAATTGTAATAGCGAAACAAAACCAGTGTGAAGACTTCTGAAGCCCTGAAGAAGATTGTTTTGAATCTCGAACAAGCAAACTTCTGAATTGTTCTGATTGAATGTAAATGTCTGGAACAGGAAGGTGATTCATCACCATTTCCCAAAAGCTTGCTTTGGGCCTATCCTATAAAACTGGTTGACACTGTATACAAATAAGTTGGAGGCCAACAGTCAAGCTTTTCAAGGTATGTGTATATTGATCAGCAGATATAAGAAATATCAATACCCCATCACCTCTGTGATACATGAAGGCTCCTGCTTATGTTAGTGGATATCATCAGCTATTTTGTAATACCCATTAAATACCCTATGTAAAACAAAAAGTATTTAATCTTAAAAGCCTAGTAGTATTAGTGAATGAAAGAAGACTCACTGTTATTTCATTCTGCAATACAGTTTTCCTGTGAGTCCTGAGATACCACTGTCAGCTAACACATGGGAAATTTAGTGATGCCACTGAGGACATAATATTTCAAGTTAGAGGTCTGCTGCCAACATTAGTCTATAATACCAGTAAGGATTTTTTTTTTCCAAGATCAGAAGGTTAATCTTTATGTCATATTAAAGTTCTTGTAAAGAAAATGGGAAGATTATAAACGGAATGTGTTTAGATTAGACTTGGCACTTGGTGCTTGTTGTTTACTAACAAGTTTACAAACATGTATTGATTGATTGTCATAGTATCTTTAAAAGTTACCAGCCTTAATTTCCTGGCACAGCAGCTTAGTAGAAAGGTTAAGTGACCCTACTAAAGGGTGAGATAAGAATCAATGGTGAATCAGAATTCAAATTTAGGAATGTTGGATTCAAGAGACCAAGTTTTTCTTACTTGGTGTTGCCGTATCAGAAGTGATGGTGTCAGGTAATGTACTGTAGAGGGTCAAAATGATAAAGGTACAGGTGCTGAAGATGGCACAGGAAAAGACAGAGACTTTACAGCGTACATAGAGTCTGTCCCATCTCGTCATCCTCCTCACAGCTGGAAGCTGCTGCATTTTGGCAGCATCCCCCATCCTCTGATTCCCATTAGTTTCTGAAGTCAGCAGGTATTGATAATTGCTGGCTTGCACAGAAGGAAGAGATCACTAATCAGCCAGGTGGTATCATCATGACTTTGTTACTGAGCTCCTACAGCCCTACTTAGCTGCTAATTTGGAAAAGTAAAATGCAGCCTTGGTTATCATCCATGAAAGGCTTTTGCCCCCCAGGTCAGCAGGATTGCATCTCGAAAGGAGTCCGGTGGAGGTGCCTGTAGGGCTGCTGGTCACATGGAGCCAGCTTATCCTTCTTATTTCCAGCAGCTAAATCATATTAAGAAGCAATTAATGTTCATTAAATGCTTTCCTGGAGCTGCCTTCTCATCTAAGCAATGGTGTCATAGGGATGTTAGTTATTGCAAATAGGAGGAGAAATTACTCTTACAATTAAAAAGAGAGAGATACTAAAGGTGTTCAATGAAACTGGAATCCCGTGTTCTGGGGAAGTATGAGAAGCCTCAGAGTGAGGTGTTGGTGTGAGACAACTATTTTGGTATTTTTAGAGCACTCACAATGTGCTTTTAGCAAAAAAAAAATCTTCCAGCTAATTCACAAAACAGACATATGTGTTTCAAACTGGGCAAAAGTCATTGGTTCATTGCATTTCACAACTTCATTTATTTTCACCCACGGTTTTGGGCAACATGGTTTTACATAATGATAAACTGCAAGAACTAAGGTGCTGTCTGCCAGACTCCAGGACATCAAATGGCCCCAATCATTCCTCTAAAGGAAAATCACAAAAAACATTCCTGTATCCCCTTAAAATTTAAAAAAAAAAAAAAGTCCAAATCAAATAATCACCTTGTGTGGCTGTTGCTGCTATGCTTTTTATCTTGCCTTAATGGTTTTTTTCTCAGTTTTTTTCAGGACAGAATTTTGTGTCCTGTAACTTAGGCTTTATTAAAATAATAATTTAATAACTAAATTCAGCCAGGAAACAGTCTGTTGAGATCTACCTAAACCTAGCTAAATTATTAGATGTTTAAAAGCAGCTACATGTACCATCACTTTGAGATGTTCATCAAATGTGCCAGTGATGACTCATCCACTCTTTCAAGAAGGTCAAGGTGAAAAAAAATCAGGGCACAAGGAGAAGTCTTCAGGACTCTGCATGTCTTAGAGAATCACAGAATCTTCTGAGCTGGAAGGGACAGACAAGGATCATTGAGTCCAACTCTTAAGTGAATGACATATGGGGATTGAACCCATGACCTGGTGTTATTATCTCCCTCTTCTAACCAACAGCAGGACTTGCTTCTTGTGCACAAAATTAATGATTTTTCACTGTTGTTAGCTATGGTTTTATATCCATCAGAGTAAGATATTGTGTGCACTTCATCAGATTCCTTTTTTTAGTTTAACTGAGAAAACAGCTTCTCCTCTTTAGCAATGATGATCCAGCCCAATAGCAGATAAATACTCGTTGCCAAAAATGCATCTTTTAGCATAAGCAAATTTGTGGCTGGTAACTACTGAAAACGAGTGCTCTGCTGTCAGCCACTGTGTGAGCCTTCATCCAATTAGGGGCACTGCAGGCATGTGCCCATGGCTGTGGTTCGGTCCGGGGTGTATGCTTTTCCAAAGGAAGCTCATGGGCCAGGAGGATCTGAATTACAATGAGGTACGAAGTAGGATTTTAATTCAGAAACCAAAAAACTTGCAAGTTGTTAACCTGAAGGGAGATAATTTTTTTTTCCCATTCTCTTTTCTTCCTAAAGGCTCTCTGCACAACATCTTAACATGACACTATGCGAAAGGCCATGCTGGGTCAGATAGAACAGCATGTTCTTCAGGCAGTGCCCAGTAGCACAATCCCAGGGAAGAACTGTGCAGTGATCCATCCCTAGGACTCTTTCTCAGCTTCCAGCAATCAATGGCTCTGGGAATTTCTGAACTAGAGCTTGCTGTGTGTTTAGTTGCCTTTCATGGATTTTTCTTCCATAATTGTGTCTAATTGCTTTTTGAAACCATGTAAACTTCTGGCATCAACAGTAACTTGTGCCAATGATTTCCATCCAAGATGAATCCTTCCATTACAATTAGCCCAGGAACAATTTGCAAGTCTCTGTTGTTATTTGGAACTCTGATCTCCTTCGCTGAAGGAAATTATGTGCTAAGTATTCTTTTGCAAAGAATTCTACTACAGTTGCACAAAACAATGCTGCTGTTAATACAAATTCACAGCATCCATTGCTAGAATTCAGTGGGAGTTATTACAGAGCATACTGTGAATGCAAATTAAAAATAATGCACAACACTCAAGCAAATCCTAATGGACCAGTGGCACAATGTCAAATACATCAGGAGCAAAGACTTCTAATACAATTATTAAAAGCCCAAGCAAACAAACAGAGCAAGTAAATGAGTACTGACAAAAACTGTTGGAGGAACATTTACCCATCATAGATCAGCATGCAGAGTGGCTGTACAGTTCCCATAGGCTTTAAAAATGCCTGCATGGCTGAAGGGGAAATATGCCCCCAGGAATGTCACATAACAGAAGGGTTCTCATTGGGCACTGTGGTCAATGGTTGAGGTAATTAAGTCAAACTAAACATTTCTTTCCATCACTGAGTGTGACATGGTGTGTCCAGCTGCCCATCTGTAGAAAAATCCTATTTGGGTTCACATGTTTGTTGAAGTGTGCAT